GTGTCTATTAATTTCCAAATTGTACTCGAGATCGTGCGATTTCCTATACAAATACCCTGCTAGAGGTATTTTTCTGCCCTAGGGAAGGAAAAGACAACCTTTGCTCGCAAGGTACTCAGTAAATGTTGTTTTTCCTACCTTGGCTTCATATAAGTTTTCCAATTCTTTCTTTATATTTCTTGTCCACGTTAAAACCATATTTCTAACGTGTAGTCCACAATATTTATTACAAACGAAGCTAAATGTTATTACCTTGAGTGCAACTACAACAACCAAGGCCACCCAGACAGTTTTTATACAAAAAACATGATTTGTGAATTTGATTCGAAATTTGTTTGGGTGGCTTTTATTAATGTAGTCGCACTGTAATGTACTCCATAGTGGAGAAAAGACAAGGTTTTATCCATACAAAATACAGACACAAAGATTGTAGGAAAGCCGTTGTATATCCAGTTCAATGTGTTCCCGCACTTATCCTTCTCATCAGGCATTGGGGTGTTCAAAATTTCTTGCCTAAATGATGAAATATTTTCAACAATGCTTTCTTGTGCCACTCGTTGGATTTTCCCTTTGTCGCTTGTATTTTTTTAATTAAAAAACCTTCGAATTCTGGAGCCTCGAGTATATCACTTGCTAGAAATTGATACAAGTGATTCGTGGGATATTCCATGGTATGCCACTCAAAACCATTGTATAATCAGAATGTGGCATAGAAGCCAACCAAATAAACTCAGTTTTAAAAGCTGTGTTGAACTAGTCGCAAGAATTTGGCTTCCGGAAAGGAGATCGTTTACGTTTTATTTTTCGTTATATCTGGGCCCAAGCTCCTGTTTGTGCCAGTTAAATTCAGTTGTCAGGTGATTTTCTAAGTTCYAAATAATGATTTAGATACATTTATTTTTAATAGGAAAATCTGGACAATTTTGGAAGAATAATACTTCAGGTAGGAAAAATGCACTTTTTCCTCTTGTTTTGCGTGCTTTTTCGTKGTATTCATTGTTTTTCTAACATTTATGATTATAGGATGCATTCTTGGTCTTCGATCCCAAACTGCTGCGACGAAAAGGCAAAGATCGACATGTGTTTTTATTCGAACAGGCCTTGATTTTCAGCAAGGAAACCAAAGACAATGATGGCAAAGTCACGTATCTCTATAAATATAAGTTAAAGGTAACAGTAGCAGTTCTTTTGCTGCTGATTAATTGGTTAGAGAAAAACAAAGCATAGTAGAAAACTAAGTGAATTATACGAAAAATTTAAAACGGAAAGTTGTCATGATTTGCTGTATTACATGGAAGAAACGAAAAATCCAGAATCCTTTATTATTTTTAACTCAACKGTAGAATTCCCTACTAGAACATGTTTTTTTATTGTAGTTGTCACTTGCAGTAGACCAGTTTCGAATTCCAAATTACCGCTGTGTTCCTTGATTACAGACTCATTTGCACAGGGTTAGCCTGTATCAGTGTTTAAATATTCTCAAATACCAACGCTAAAGTAAAGAATGCACAACTTCAACAATACAAACACTTTGAAACTCGACGGACCTTGACTGGGACACGTGCACATTCTGCACAAACTCGARGCTAACCCTGTGCAAATGAGTCAGTAATCAAGAAACACAGCGGTAATTTGGAATTCGAAACAGGTCTGTTGTCGTGGTTGTTTGTTYTATTTCAATAATCCGTTTATGTCTGTCATGACTTTTTGTTGTTGTGATAGACGTCAGAGTTGGGCATAACTGAACATATCGCAGAAGACCCGTGCAAGTTTGCTGTGTGGACAGGAAAACCACCACAGTCCGAGGATAAACGAATAATCAAGGTATCTTTGACCACACATRATTAGTCCAATCAGTTGCGATGATTTAAGTCGTAAACAGCTTACTAGGATTCCATCAGTTATATTTTATTATCATTATTATTTTTCAGGCTGCCAACATTGAAGTCAAACAGCTTTGGGTCAAGGAACTGCGAGAACTCATCCAACAATTCCAGTTTGGTATTCTGAAGGAAAGAAGTAAGTAAAAGGTTCTTTTTATCGTGACACGGCTTATTGAAGGGGAAATGTTGGTTTCTTTTCTGGTTGCCGTAGGCAACAGAGTAAAACGTCAAATTAGCCATGAAACAGCGTTTTTTAAAAACCGTCAGTCATTCTGGATTATCTCACGTAAGGTAATTGACAGAGAGAGCCTACGTAGCAAGCACTGTTGATGTCAATGTATTCGAAAAAATGCAATAAATCACACSTAATACAATCGATAGAACGACTATGGAATRTATTAGATTTTCTGAACACGTAACATCAACTGAGTTTTATGACGTTRTCCCGTTTTGAGTTCTCTGTTGATCAGGGTTAGCCTCGACTTTGCGTAGAATATTCATATGTTCCAGTCCAGGTGTTTTCGCTTCTCCCAGCCCGATCGAATTGACGACTATTAAAACTCCAGTGTATGCGGGCTTAGCCTCACTTCTGATTCTTAAAATACCTTTTTACTAGACAACTGTGGTAGCCCAGTCGTAAAATACCATTTTGTTACGCGGGTACTTAAATTAAAATTCCTATAAACCAATGGTGGTAGCCAAGTCTTAAAATGCCTTTTTTACTGGAAAACAGTGGTAGCCCAGTCGTAAAATACCTTTTTGTTACGCGGGTACTTAAATTGCAATGCCTTTAAGGTGGCTCGATACAATAATTTTGAAGCATGACTCCTCTACTCGTATTGCAAACTGCGAGGCACCAGATATACCTTGGSCAAATATGAGTTCATACTAAGTGTAGGGATAGATGGAAGTTTTAAATCGTGTGTATTTCKTGACCGTCGGACACGCCCTGAAGGCACAGTGACGTCATGTGATTATTTTTTAAATCTAGTTTTTGGCATAATCTGACCAGACCCGGAGAAACGGAGACCCGGAGTTTGTTCCTTATTTTGAAGTACAGGCTAATTGTAACAACCAGTACGGCTGAACTACACAATTAGCTAGCTTAACTATGTACAAAATTCAGGTCAGGAGTAATAATATATACATATATATAATTAACATTAAATTTCCCATAATTAGTTCTTGCCTGTGGAATTGAGTAATTTAACTTGGATGCAAATCTAGTATTATAGTTATAGAAAGAAAGTGCAGAAAGTGCAGAAGACGGGGTAAACATTTGATGCGCACTTTTCATCGCAGTTTTCTAGTCAATCTTACYAGATCTTCCATTATTCTAAAATTCGCTGATCATTTCTCTCAAAACTACGTCAGGTTACAAATTAGAACTTAAACTAACATTACACAAAATTGCACTCATTTAAAGCGATCTAAAGCGAACGAGAAATACAGAAAACATTGATCGTTTCCCAACGTTTGCTAATGATCATAACATCAAATTCTTTCGTACCATGCACGGTCTCATCTCGCTAAATCGGAAAGCGGCCAAGCGACATCAGACCGTGCATGGTGCGAAAGAATTTGGTGTTATGRTTATTAGCRAACAATAGAATTCCCAGARCATCAAATCGTTGGGAAACGATCAATATTTTCTGTATTTCTCGTTCGCTTTAGATCGCTTTAAATGAGTTCAATAGTCTTGCAATTTTGTGTAATATTAGTTTAAGTTCAAATTTGTATCCTGACATAGTTTTGAGAGAAATGATCAGCGAATTTTAGAATAATGGAAGATCTAGTAAGATTGACTAGAAAACTGCAATGAAAAGTGCGCATCAAAAGTTTACCGCGTTTTCTGCACTATGCTTTTAACAAAATCGCATAAGTCGATTACCTTCAAAATGTTCCTTTTAAAACTAGATACAGAGTAAAACTAAATGAGCAATGTCTTTTGTGAATATATAGCTCTCAAATATTAATTTCGGCCGTATGAAATCCATTGTTTAGTTTTGAAGTAGATTATGCACTATATTTAAATAATCTCAAATATCTCATAATTAGTTAGGTTGATWTTTTTAAAATCCCTACAAATGGAGGCATCTAGTATATGATTATGTGGTACGAAGCATTTTAGTGTTGAACGCTCTGCAAGGCTAAAATTATTTTCTAAACGAAAACAAATATTTCATCATAATCACGTGTTATGACGTCCGATCTCATTTAAAATTGCATCAAACATTAATTCAATCTTTATGTGACTTAGTGCAAAAAAGATTTGCAATCGGATAAAACACGTTTATGCACCAGCGTTCCAAAAGTGGAAGGTAGCGGTCAAGCGTGAGGGGGTCCAGCCACCTTAAGGTGGTTCGACTGGGTTTTGTTTGTGGCGTACCTTCGAAGTTTGAAGGGGAAATGCGTCGCTTCCAATAAGTTAATTTCAAATAAATCATTATGACATGTCTTAGAGACAGATTCAAGTTTTACATGATATACAATTTATCGCGTTCGGATTTACCATAGCGATACAGTGACGTCATGTCATTTTTTTATACATTCCGTTTTTGGCGAAATCAGACGTTTGTTTAAAAAATGGTCTAAAAGTTCTTAAAGTTCATATGTTTGTCTTCAAGTTAACGAAGTTTCGAAGATTTGTATGGAAGCGTTTCTAAATAATTGCCATCGGAACTTTTGGGCAACAAAAATGTAAACAATCCATAGCAATAGCGCAGCGCACTGATCATCTAAAAATAGCTTAAAGATTCGGACAAACATTGCATTCTGTTCAACCGCTACGAGGATTATACGAACCGATTTTATTATTTTTACTTAAAGTTACAATAATAACCCATGTAAACTAAGATCAACTGCGATCGGCTGTGAAAGTAAACTTGTAAGTTTGTTTGTCCGAATTTCGCCTTTGTCTTCGTTTTTATGACGTCACGGTTGCGCTGCGCTATTAGTTGATGTGACCGAAACCTTTTCTTACTGGACTTGGAAAACGCTTTTTTGGCGTCGTAGTGTTGTGTTACTATTCTACTAGTCCTTATGGGAAACGGAAAGAAATCGCTTTATTGGATTTCGAGAAATATAATTTCAAGCCTAGTTAGTAAAGTTGTGYCTTTTGATATCTTGTCAAAGATTTCACTTATCTTTACTAAAAACGGYCAAACTCAATAATGCGATGRTGAATTCTTTTTTAACTTCGAAGTCAGTTACTTTAGATAACGCATTTATATACTCTAAAGTTTCAAGTTCATTGAAATGATTTAAAACCGTCAATGATATTATCAATTCCGTAAACATTTGTATCCCAATGCTAAATATGCAACCGCTTTCTTCACTCGTACTATGTTTAATRTCGTTACGCCTTTCTATTGTCCAGAATATTTCCAAAGTCGTGCATTCCAACRCCTCACGCTTTACGTTCAATGCCTGATTGCTTTCCGAAACCCTTCCGACTATGATAATTTGTAGTAGCAAATAACAAAGGACTTCATTTAGTACAGTAGTTTTTAAGTCTTTAGAGTACTATAGTTGTGTGACAAGCGTTTTTCTAAGTCCTTCGTTATTTGCTAGCTCATTGAAATTGCAACCACAAATTATCATAGTCGGAACGGTTTTAAACTTAAATTTTCAAACAAACGTCTGATTTCGCCAAAAACGGAATGTATAAAAACTGACATTATATCACTGTATTTCTATGGTAACTCCGATCGCGATAAATTGTATATCATATAAAACTTGAATCTATCTCTAGACATGTCATAATGATTTATTTGAAATTAACTTATTGGCAGCGACGCATTTCCCCTTCAAACTTCGAAGGTACGTTACAAACAAAACCCAGTCGAGCCACCTTAATTGCAATCAGGCCAACCGATTGATCTCGATTTCTCATCATCACAAGTTATTACATTGATAAGCAAAAWTATCGTAAAAATAGTTTGTCAGAGACCGAAATTAATGCATTTTGTGGATATCACGGGACTCCGTTGATATTTCATAGATTCACGATCCAAAAATATTAAAACTCGAATAATTTTAAGACTGAACAAYGAAAATCTTTAAAACTTTCCGACCTTGAAGACTACCATAGTATGTTTCAGATAGTGAACTCCGTTTCTCCGGGTCTGGCCAGATTACGCCAAAAACTAGAATTAAAAAGTAATCACATGAAGTCACTGTGCCTTCAGGGCGTGTCCGATGGTCACGAAATACACACGATTTAAAACTTCCATCTATCCCTACACTTAGTATGAACTCATATTTGGCCAAGGTATATCTGGTACCGCGCAGTTTGCAATACAAGTAGAGGAGTCGTGCTTCAAAATTATTGTATCAAGCCACCTTAAACCAATAAGATGTTGCTATATCTTCGTATGTAAACWAGCCAAACCTTTTGTAAAGGAGCGCGCCATAGAAAAATAAATTAAAACGTGCGCAAGAAAATCAATAATTACGAAATAAATAAATGAATAATACAAATGAATGAATTAATGAGTCAATGATTTTATTCAATTCTAGCATTTCTGTTTTTAAAGAATCTGATATTTTTTCAGAAAGCCCTTGTGATAGACAAACAACTCGCAAAAAATATCAGGGATGATATTCTATAATTTTTGATATTCTTTTGATCTACTTGTATATATATATATATATATATAATATTCAATGCATATACATACAGCAATATGCAGAAATTCTGATCCGACCAAGTATATAGTATATAACTATATCGGGTGCATTATGTGTAATGGACCCGCGGGATTCAAAGCTAAGTAACAAAGCGTTACAGTTGGGATCCCTGTGTGCTGTATGCCATAAGAAATCTCCATTTGCTCGATTATGTGTCCGTCCCAATGATTTTCGGAGTATGCGGTATATATGTTCAGTGGAGGTCATCATGAATTTATGCGTTGCTTCGATTACGTCCGAACCAACGTTGGTAAAACGTGGTTTGGCGACGTCTTCGAGATCAACAAAGTGCGTGATCAACAAAGTGAAATATATTTTTCCGACTGTAATAATGKSTWATTCAAAAATGTTTATTGCTGGAAGCATTCATTAAGGTCACGAAAGATTTAGTGACAGTGGTCACGAAAGATTTAGTGATAGTTCACGGGGAATACAATGTTGTTTTATGAGTCTTTCAGCATTGTTATACGCTCAGAATTTTTCGCTCGAACACTGGACTGCCGCCACTGTAGATCACATCCTTGCCGAAGGAGATCGAATATGCAACTATTTAACAGCAATAATTGTTTTGTAAAGTTATTGTTCCATATAGTAATCAATGTATTTATGTTGCACTGTATCGCATATCGTTCATTGATTTTATTGAGACACCAGCCACTTGACCTCCAGAAAACAACTCGCTCGGGAAGGAGCATTGCAATCAACAGAGCAATATTTTAATCATTTTCGAATATCGTTTAAAATAATTCCATATTATACTTGATATCCCTAGATAAATCTGACTGTTATTATAATAATGCGTGAAACGTTTTTCCATGAACTTAGAATGTAAAAAAAGATTTTGGGATTTTCCGTGATACGAAAAATTAATTTTACGTGAAACGTGATCACTTCGATTTTTGCGTTGATAGTTTTTATCCGACACATATGTTGCTTGGCTACTAGTGGTGCCATAAAGATACGTTTCACTAAGTTTTAAGTCWTTTCCAATTTTTATCCAGTTTCACCCAAGTGCCCCTTTCAAAACTTAGCAATTTATTTTCACTTCGCCCCTTAGATTAGACTTAGGTACACTGGCCCACCCAGGTATCCCATGGCCCAGTCCACTCTGCCCCCAGGGTCTTTTTAACCAAGTGCGAGGTTATATAATTTCTGTTTCTCTGTCCATAGGCAATTCTATGATGAGTTCCACTGGTTCAGTCAGCTCCATAAATACATCGATCGTCTCGACTTCTGGAAAAAGTAGAGAAGATAAAGCCGCTGATAGGTAAGAATACTGTTTGCATTTTGTTATATTGCTCCTTGATGGAATACGGGGGGCGGCTAGAGTAGAGAATGAGAGAAGAGGTGTTTTTTTTATCCTTCCATATGGTATTTTTTAGGAACAGTTGATTAAATAAGCTTGGCTACCCAGGTATATTGGATTTATGACAGCGTACATTTTTGCACCTTGAGGTTAACACAACTTCTTTAAAATAATTAAGTTATATTAATATTTCATCTGATGTATATTAATTAAGATATATGTTTTGGATAAGAAGAGATAACTAGCTAAAAACTAGTGTGAGATGCGTCGGTGTTTCTAATGAAACAGTAATGATAAAAAGGTAAATTATACACTGTGAAAAGATGAAAAAACGTACTGACGTTTCGGACGCTAGTCATTCGTCGGAGTAAAAGAATAATAATAATGAATAATGAATAAGGATGTGTGATTTTAATATTCCAAAAATCGTGATGATTCTGAGTTTGTAATTTTCTATCTCATATTTGTAATCTATCTCATAAAGTTTTTGGTTATCTTTATTTACATTTTAACAGGGAAAGTGGTGTCATCGAAGATGATAATATATCTGGAGAATACGATCTTTCGGAAGGTGGGAAGGTAAGAAATTATAATTTTATTGAGTAAAACAGTGTTAGAGCGCATTAGACAGGAGGGTAAGATGAAAATTGCTTTTKCTCTGGACACTGGATAAGGTAGGAGGAGATCTTACTCTCACACCTCTTTTCTTAATATTGCCTTTGTAGTCCTTCGTAGGTCTTTGCTTCAACACTCAACAAAACCTGTAACAATGAACTAAAGAAAGTAGAAATAGACCTATCCCGAATTCGCTTGACTGGCCACGAAACAATAGTTTCAAGTCGAAGTTGAACTTGATGAACAAGATAATCAGTCCAGTCTCGACTTCAAACCATTGTTTCGTGGTCAGTCAAGCGAATTCGGGATAGGTCTATTTTAAGGAAAAAATTAGGACTATCCCATCTTACCGTGCGAACACAGGGAACCCAATCTCCGAAAATTTTAAGTATTCGCATTTGATTCATATAAACACTGTTATTAGGATTTMTATTTAAACGGAATTTTTAACCGTTCAAAAAGTTGTAATCACCCAAATGGACTTTATACTTTTCTTTTGTACGAATGAATATAATGTTGCCGCACCTTAAAAAATTCGTTGTCTAAATATTCCAGTTGTTTGACTGGCTGTCGAGAAACCAACCCTTATCTTTCTGTTATAAGGTGATGAGAGATGGGTTGCCCTTCTAGCTAACGTCGATCTTTCCGACCAAGAGATGTCAGCACAAAACTATGTCACATTTTGAATTAAGTCGGGCTCCTATTTTTGTTGACTTCACTGATATCAGGGGRAAAAATATATAGGTTAATCACTTGTAAGCAACTATCTAACATTGACTAAGCAATCTAATAGTTTTACTAAATGGTAAAATGAAACCATAATATGAATTTGATACCCACACTTCCAGATGCACTCCCATGGGGGATATTGACATTAGGTCATTTCTTATATCATCATTCCGGTAGCTATCTTTCCTTTGTTTAGCGTAGAATGTTTTCATGGAATAGAGACATGTATTACTTTGCAAACCAACTAGTGCTTCGCTTGTTATTTTTCCATGGTTGATGCTATGAAAAGCCTTCGAAGTCGAATAGCAACGCCGTTCTTGTCCCAGCGTAATTCATATACATTAAATCATTTGGAGGTAAGTGTAAAGTTTCATTGGTTCGATTTCTGATAACCATGGCGAATGGCAAGAAGATCCCGCTGTTAACACAAACTTAGCCCGGCTTTGTATATWTGTCACAACCATGGTTGAGCTTGGTGAGTTTTTGAAGAAATAACCTGGCGAAATACGTGTCATTTAATCTCCGACGTTTGATCTGTAAACGGCAAGACACTTTGAACAATGTACTCTTTTCAAATTCTATTGCACCAAAGATACCTTTTCGTAAGATACCTTTTCGTAAGATACCTTTTCGTAAGATATCAGTCATAGCAAAGTTAAATTGTTCTGAAGTTCATTGAAGAGATGTGAAATTCGTAGAAAAAAACACCATGGTTGTGCTATCCCACGCTATCTCATGGCTGCCATGTTTGATGAATTACGTGTCGTGACGTCAAGGCTTAGTAGGCCGGCTGCTTCCTTGTTCCATCGTACAGTTCAGTCTTTCTATGAGATGTGAAATTTTGAGTAACTCGAACACTAAGGTGATTCAGAGTTTTTCCTTGGTCAGACTTATTTGAAACTTGAACATTGAAACTTGAAACTTGAGAAAAGGAAAGCAACATTTGTTGTGTTTCACTTATCGGCTCGACCGTCTTATACTTTCATCTTTGAACATTGACGAARAAAGTCACAAGGTTTTTCTTAAATAATTTTTATCAGCATACTAGTAAATGAAAGATGCCACCTCTGATGTCTGATTTAGCTTGTWGGATTTCAAACTCCATTCAATGTTTTCAAGATTTGCGGATGCGAACATAGTTTTCGAGATGCATCGGCAATGATTATAAAGAATGTGTTACATAAAAATTACTTTAAGAGAGCACACTAGGTCAAGTGATAGAGCTGCAATATTTTCTGTTATGTCACGGAACATGATCTTTTTCTCTTTTTTTTYCACTGCTATTTCCACTTATTAATATACATACACTTGTTGCAGCGGAAAAATCTTTGTTTGAACGCCGAATGGTGTTACTTTTAGTGACGTTGTATCACATTAGTCGGCAATTYGATAGTAGTCAAATGATCACAGAGTGAAATGTTTTCCATACCTTATACAGCCTACAGCCAGTGGTCACTTACCCAGACCCCAACCACAAGAGACCTCATGTTCTCTCCTCGGATATGCGTTAGTTCGCCTATCAAGCTTTGTTCTTTTTCTTTCAAGGTATTGGAATATGTTCAAGATGGAGTCTGGCTTGTTACAGAAAGCTACAAGGCCTGCAACGACGAAGAAATATCCCTCAAGAAGGGACAGCATGTAGAAGTGCTGGTCAAAACACATGGCAGTTCAAGATGGAGGGTTCGTGTGGTCAACAACGATGGAACTGTTCCCGCAGAAGGATGGGTTCCTTACACCTCGCTTCGAAAAGCTGATGACAGAGAAAACAGAAGAAAACGAAACTCGGACATTTCACATTCCAGCAGTGAAGGTTAGAAATTATCGTTTATCTTTAAAATAACTTGCATGGCAAATTAATTACCTTGGCGTTATATACATGCATGGCCAAAACRTTTGTTATAAAAGGCGTTTATGAAATCAAGCTTGACTTAAAACACAAGTGAACTTTCTATTCTTATGTTCATAATCTGAGTTTTCGTGTTCTGGTATACAGATTGTTGTATTAATGTGATCAATGTGAGACAAATACGTACACGAATTTCGTTTACTGCGGCCACCGAGGAGAGTAAACAAGATTTTAAACTGAAMAGCTGACTATAATGTAAGTGTTTTAGTCTGCTGACCAGAAGTCAACAAAATGCACGCTCATTTTTCCTCAGTTTTTACAGTTTATACATTCAAGTACGAATGTACCACGACCTCAGATTTGAAATGAACTTCAAATGAAAGCACTCGAGTTTTGTATGAGTAATTTATATAAACAAGATGGTGAAAGTTGAATTGTATACTTAGTAGACTTTGTTTAATTGTGAATTCGCACAATGACTGAATTAAAGATATTCGTTTTATTTGGTGAATTATTCTGTACAACTAGAAGAATAGAAGAAAACTGGGTAGTTCAACATAACCCATGAAGATCTAGGTCTATCAATTGATGATTTATTGAAACATTTGTCAAAACGCCTCTCCAGAACTGCCCAAGGGGTTTTTGGTATTTTATTTTTTAGTTTTGAAATAGCTTTATTGGCATGACCTACAATTTACAGGTATTGCTAAAGCATTAAACATTAACAGGAATTTTTGTTATTTTACAAACACATTGTACTAAGAAAAATATCTATATATCTATATCTATATCTATATCTATCTATCTATCTTTAGATTCATGGATGACCCTAGTGTAACCTAATAATAGATAGCATTTTTCGTAGTGTTAAAAACGTGCTATTTCAATCCAAATAGAGTGGATTGACAG